CCTCCCACGTGCCCCTTGGCTCCTGTACTCCAACCTTGACGGCTGCATGAGGGTTCTCGTGTCTAGGCAGCTCTGCCCCCAGGTAGCTGCCTGCCTCCTGCCTTCGTCTTTCAGGTCTATTCTCACCTGTTTCAAGTGCCTGTTCCTGGCCATCGACTGGAAAACAGCTCCCCCACGCCCATATTTCCAGCCCCATGCTCATGCTTAGTCGCTCAGTTGTGTCTGACTCTCTGCGATCCCATGGACTGTAGCCCACCAGACTCCTCTGTCCATGGGATTCTCCAGGCAGGAATACTGGAGTGGGTTGCCACGCCCTCCTCCAGGGGATCTTCCTGACCCAGGGATCAAACCTGAATCTCTTATGTCTCTTGCACTGGCAGGCACGTTCTTTACCACTGCGTGACCTGGGAAGCTCTCCTTTATTTATTTGTCGCAGCACACCTCACCTATGTGTCATGGACGACACTGTGTCCCGACAAGGAAGAAGGGGCAGCTCTGTCTTGCTCCTTGCTCTGACTCCTCACATGTAGAACGGTCCCTGGAACATAGGAGGTGCTCCATAAATACTGCCCAAGTGGTTGGGTGCCCGGGGCCAGTCCGCCATCTGGCCCTCAGAGACCCAACTCTGAAATGGGGAGGGTGGCCGAGCTGAGGACAGGATGGAAACTTGAAATTGCTGGCACACCTCTGACCCGAGGCCTGCGCACCTGCAGACCACGTGTCCGGTGCTGTGTCCTTTCCTCAGCGAGCCACAGCCCTCCAAGCCCAGTAGGCTTGGGTGCCACCGCACCAGGGCTGAGCTTGAACGAGATGTCTGGATCTTGGTAGCACCTGCCGGGCCTGATGGCTGGAGTCTGTGTCCCTTTTCTCTGCCTCTCTTGCCCACCAGGATGGTGGGCCCTGGCTAACCCCTTCCCTGGTGGCCTGTCAGTGAGCCCAGCATCTGGCAGCCCCCCTGACTGCATGGTCTGCCTGGGCATCCTTCCTTGGTCCCTATTTATTATTTCACCCTGAACACAGGGTCCTGGACACAGGGTCTGCAGGAAGGTGGCTCTTCAGACAGTGCTGGGCAAGTGTATGGGCACCATCCTGGCCCAGGCTCTCTGGCTGTGACCACATCCCACCCTCCCCAACCCCCAGCCCACCCAGGAAACAGCCTCCCCAAACTGAGACGATGAATGTTCACCCTGGCCCATGGGACTCTCCCGCCAGCCAAGTGCAGGGTTCTATCTCCCTACCAAGCCTGGAGCAGGACTCACCGGGGCATGGACTCAGACCCCTGGCTGGAGCAGGGAGCCAACCACCCAGGCAGCTTCCCCTCAGCATGAACGAACAGAAGACCCACCTTTTGGTGGGCCTGGTCGCCACCACCCTGCGAATCCCACTGGGTAGGGCCTGATAGAACAAGCAAGGGGTCCAGGGCCATGCACACCTCAGTCTGAATCTTGGTGCTGTTGCTTCGTTCATTGCTTTGCTAAGGGCATCCTGAGTGCCTGCTCTGGGCCTGGCACTGAGCCAGGGTCTGGAAATTTACAGTCAGGTGGGGATCAGTTGTCCTGCTGTGTGTTCTTGACAAGCCCTCTGATGGCTCTGAGCCTGGCTTCAATCAGAGACAGGCAGAGCCCTGCCGTGACAGCACTGGTGGAAGGGCCTTGGCCAGGTGGGGGCGTCTCTGCCCTCTGCCTGGGAAAGGGCTCCATTCTCCTTTGGGATAAGCTGCAGCTCCGCCATCTCCTTTCTCCCAACCCGTTGGACACGTGCTCAGAATCCAGAATCCATGAAGGGCCCTGGAGTGACCTTGGATGAGTCATACCACCTGTCCTTGCCCCACTGTTCTTCATCCTCTCCCATTGTTCTCCAGAGGGGCCCTGGGTTCAGAGAAGAGGAAGCGCCGTCTGGATCAGGCTCGCTCGTTCAGTCACCAGATACTTATTGAACGTGTGCCAGGCACCATCCCAGGGACGGAGGAGGCGCCAGTGAGCAGACAAACAAAAGTGCCTACAAAATACATACATTACATGCAGTTCATTAGAAGGTGGGGAAGAGCATTCCAGGCACAGGGATCGGCAAGTGCAAAGGCCCCGAGGTGAGAATGAGACAGTGGTGAAAGGCGCAGGGGAGTGAGTGTGTGTGGAGCCTGTGCTTGCTCCTAGGGAAACAGGGCATTCACTACCACCCTTTCTCCCACCTGGCCTGTTGGGAGGCTGCCTGGAGGAGATGGCTGAGTCCGGGTGTGACAGAGACAGGCTGAGGGTCAGGTGGCGCTGAGATTGGGTCGGGGGTCCCAGGAGGAACTGGGACTTTTTGTTTCATGGTGCACACAGTGGCCTCAGGACTGAGTAACCCTGGTTCCCAGGCCAGATATTTGAAGATGGAGACTAAGCACTTGCATATTAGAGGTGGGTGGGGCTAGAGCCTGGATAGGAGGGATTCTCAGGGTCAGCTGGGGGATCTGGCACCCGCGGGTTTTGCTGCATCCAGGTGAGCCTGGAGTCAGCAGAGGGTCTGTCTCTGGGAGTGGTCTGCTCTTGGCACCAGGCAGCCACCCTTGGGACTGGGCAGGCTGGAAGCTGTTCCTGGCCAGTGCTTCCCATGCCTGACTGCTAGATGCTGATTCCCAGGCAGAAGGAACAGCGTAGAGGGGCTCTGCTCTGGCCACTTGGATGGATGAGGTCTGGGCTTGAGACCAGGAACTTATTTTCTTCGTCCTCAGTTGACAACCTACAAATGGCAGGTTTAGGGTGACTGTTCCAGCCACCGGGGTCCTAATGACCTGCATAGCCACAGCAGTCCTTCATAAAACCCCATCTGGATGCACCCCCGTCACTTCGCCGCTCCCCCCACCCAGCCCAGAGGGGCCGGGCTGAGGAGGCGCTCAGCAGTGGTGTGATATGGTGTTGGCCCCTGCCCTCCAGGGAGTCACCAGGTCTCTGCGAAGGCCCGGCAGGGCGGGGAGAAGCCCTTATGTACAGAGCCCTTAGTGGAGGGGCGGTTAGTAGGTGGGGACAGGGGTCTGGCCATCACTAAAGAGCAAAGACCGAGTGACAGAGGTCGTGGGGTGCGCTCCTCCCTCCTGCCAGACAGACAGGGGCCTGGGGGGACGCGAGGTGGGGGCCGAGGAGAGTGGCACGGACAGGCTGGCGGGCAGGGAAAGTGGAGAGAGCAAGCGCTGACGCGTCAGTGTGATCCCTGGCGCGATAATCGGGTGGACGGACGACAGGCCGGACACGTGTTTGGGTAGAAGGTGGGTGGATGGAGAGAGGACGGATGAATGAATGAATGGCTGCGTGGGCGGTGAGCAGCCCAGCGAGGGGCGGGCCTCCAGGCGCTCAATCACAGCCCCGGGGCGCGGCGCCCGCCGGCTACGGGCAACCTCTCCCCCACCCCGCCCGTTCGTCCCGCACCTTGGCCCCGCCCGGGGCGCGTAATTCCGCGTCCCTGGGGCTCTGGGGCCGCTACGGCGGCGGCCCAGGACTGGGGCCAGGAGGGCCCGCCCCTCGGCCGTGGGGGAACCGGAGGTACGGTCCCGCCTCGAGGCCCCGGCCCCGCGCTTCTTTGTCTCGGCCTGGTCCTCCACCGTCTCCGGACCGCCACCCGCCTCGGCGGGCAGTCCTCGCCGCGCGCTTCTGGGCTGCCCGCGGATCTCCAAGCCTCGGTCCCCGCTGCCCCCAGCCCGTAGGCGTTTCCCCGGCCCGGTCGAATCCTCCAAACCCGGTGCCTCTAGGACCGCGGGGCCGGCCAGTGCCAGGATCTCTAAACTGCGTCTCTGGAGCGGGCTGCGGAGGGGGGGCGGGATGCGAGTCCCCGGGTCTTCGCCTTCTCTCCTCCGCTACCACTCGCCGCGCTGTGCTGGGACCCCTGAGCGGCCTGTTCGTGCCTCTGCAGCGGTGCAGTCCCCAACACCACGCGGACCCCCTCCTCCAGCTAGGCCTCGGCCCCGCACGCAGAACACTGCCCCGCTAGCCCCACACAAGACCGCGTGCGGGAGCACCCCAACCCGTCGCTGGTCCCCCGCCCCTACAACCGTCAGCTCCACGCAAACAAGCCCCCACGGAGACACGACACCCCTCAGACACACTCGGGCCCACGCAGACACAATCCCATACGCGCACAACCTCACGCAGACACGGCCCACACAGGCGCAGTCCCGCAGCCCTTGATAAACAATCGCACACAAACAACCCCACGCAGGCACCGCATCACTCCGTGCCCCCGAGACCCAGAAGCACATTCACAAGCTCGCAGCAGGCCCCCACGCTCCGTGACATTCACACGGAGGGCAGACCAGAAATACACAGCCACACTGATACACACACGGACCCGAGCGCGCAGCCAGGAGCTCACCCACGGGCTCGTAAGTCACTGGGAAAATATTAAAGCGTCCCCTCCCTCCCCTTCCATCTCTGACGCGCGCGGGCGCGCGCACGAAGACACTTACCACCCCCCAACCCCCGCCCGCCCTGGGTCCCTAAGCGCCTCGTAGCTTCCTAGCCAGTGACCCCGAGCCCCGCGGTGAGAGCCGCCGGAGCGTCTCCCCGGCGCCCCCTCCTCCCGCTCCCTTCACCAGGTCCTAGTCCTTCCCCGCCCCCTCCCTCCTGCCCCCTCAGCCTCCTCCCCTCCCCCGCGTCTGGGGCGCGGGCTGCGCGCAGCCAAGCCCCTCATCGCGCGCCCCTCCCCGCGCGCGCCCCGCGCCCGCATCGCGCTCGCCGAGTGGATGCGGCCATGGGGCGGTCTCTACCTCCTGTCCCCCGGTGGCCCGTGAATAATGGCTACTGAGGGCGCTCGCAGGGGCTGCTGAGAAGGAAACACGGGGCGCGAGAGGCGCGGCGCGCGCGGGAGCGCGAGGGAGAAAAAAGCGAGCCCCCGGCCGCCGCGAGCGGCGGGCGGAGAGAAAGGAATCGTGCGAGCGCTCACATTTTTTTCTCCCAAAGATCTCATCCGGCCGCCGCGTTCTGGAAGAGACGAGGGGACTGCGCGCGCGAGCAGAGGAGGAGAGGCGGCGCGGGGAAGGGAGGCGGCGAGACGCGCAGCGCCCGCGCCCGGGAGACCCAGGAGGAGCCCGCAGGTATTGTTGGCGGCGGAGCTTTGTGTCTTGGTGGGTGGGGGGACGATCCGGGCGCGAGGGCTCCCGAGGCTGCCGGCCGGGGTCTCCGCCCGCCCCCGGCACCCCTCCCGCCGCGCGGCGGTCTTGGCTGGAGTTGCAGACCTGCCTGTTTGGGGTTTTCCACACCCGTTGAGGGAATCGGTCTCAGAAGGAATTTCTTTTTTTTTCTTTTTGGCCGCAGTTTGGTTGTGCCGGGGATTTCCCCCTCCCCTTCTCTCCACCACACACTGGTGAGAGGTCTTGGCGACTGTGGCACCGGCCGAAGGCTGAGGGCTGAGATGGCGGGGCTGGTGGCCGCAGACTGGAGGGGAGGGACGCGGGGAGGAAGGAGTTTTGCTCAAGTTCGCAGTCTGTGCCCCGGAGCTGGTCAGGCGGGGAGGGTCGGCTGCGCGCCCCGTTCGCTCCGGGCCACCGGTGGGAAACTTCCCTAGAGCGCAGCCTCCCGGGGGACTCGGCGCCCCCGACGCCTTGGGCGCTCACTCCGGCCGCCTGGGCCCCGCCTTGCCGCCCGCGAGCACCCGAGGTCGTGCTCTCCCCGCCCCCTCCTTCCTCCTCCCCCGGCAGCTTCCGGATCTGGACCGGGCAGGAGGAGCGGCTCAGAACACTTCCCCCGGAGACCCCTCCCCACTGGCCACGATAGTCCCCTGCCCTGGCACCCCCGCCTCGCGCGCGCCCCAGTGGCCAGGCTGACAATGAAACCTCGCGCCTGTGCGGTTGTGGGGAGAGGTCGGAGCTTGGTCTCTCTGGGGGTTACTAACCCTAGGAAGCCGGAGGGGGGACTCCTTGGGGTTGGGGTTTGTTTGGATTAGAGACGTTGACATCGGGTGGGTCGGGCAGGGTGGGGTGCGTGGTGGCGCCCCGAGGCTCGGGTTCGGGGGCCGGGGTCCCGGGTTCCAGCCTCTCTTGGGCTTGTTGATTGGCTGAGTGTTTGTCTCCTGCGGTCCACAGCAGGCGCTGCTCCTTGACCCGGAGATCCGACCCTCGCCCCTCCCCTAGGGGCTGGGGGCGGGGAGAAGGGGGTGGGAACTTCTCCTTTCCCGCCTGGGCACTGCGAAGCGAGTGCTACCCCAGAGAATTTCTGGGGACCGCAGGCCTGGGGGTGCGCTCAACGCAGAGTGGGGGTCGCGGGGTCAGCGGGGTCTCTGCACACAGAGCGCTCCATTCCTCTGCGCCTTGCGGGGAGGGGCAGGGTGGAAAGGGCCAAGGCTAGTTGGAGTGGGAGTGGGGGCAGAGAGCCCATGGAAATCTGTCTTCATTACGTTCCAGGGAGCGGCCCCCCCTTTTCTTCCTGGGGTAGGGAGCAGGCCCAGGGATGGGGCTGCCAGCCTGGGCAGGTGAAGGAAATCCTTCTATTCAGAGGGGCTCCTGGCGGGGTTGGGGAGGTGGGGGGAGGCTGGGGAAGGCTGTTCTGTGGCTCCATCCAGGCGTGGAGAGAGTTAATCCTCCCCGGACCCTGTCAGCCCCCACCCAGGAGGCTGCAGTGGGGACCCTTTGAGCTCACAACATGTTCCCACCCTGTATTCCCACCAGGTGGAGGGGTGCCTTCTCAGGACCCCCCTCTGAGCCCAGAGAAGGTGCTGCAGTGGGAGAGCCTGGGAAAGCTGGTGCAGCTGGAGCCTATGGCCTCGTGGGGGGACTCTCCCCACTCCGCAGCCCCAGCGTGAAGGTCGGTTTCTGACCGGAAGGCTAGACCCTGAGGTCCTCATAGCTGAGGGCCAGCCTGGGAGGCCACAGGGAGGCAGGATTGATTTCTGCTCACCAGAGCCCCTGTAGGGTCCAGGCCCGCGGGTGCATTCCTGGGGGTGGGGGGACGCGTCTTCCTCCTCCACTGGTTCCCTTTCCTGCAGGTGAGAGCCGGACCTGGCCACAATGGACCCTGGGCTTTGGCTGGACAGACACAGGGATGAATGAACCAGTAAAGAATGAATGAATAAATGAATGGAAAGGGAAAGTTTCTCAATTGGAGGTGTTCAGTCATTTTTTAAAAATAATTTTTCAATATATATGTTTTAAAATATATTAATGGGAAAATCTGAAAAACAGAGAAAAATAAAAAAGGTTATGGACAGTCTCGGTGGGCTGTGACAGTGTTAGTATTTTGATGTCGTTTTCCGCAGTCTTTTCGGCTTAGTGGCTGGGTTGTTTTTTAGCGACTTGTCGGCACTCTCTCTGTTCAGACGTATATCCTGCTCTCTTCGTTGGCGCTCATGGGAGCCTTTTCCTGTTTTGTAACCAACTCTTCATAAACACCGCGGTTAATGTCTTCAGGCTTTTCCAATTGGGTGGATGCGCCATTTACTTAATATTCCCCTTTTGTTCCATGTTCTGGTTGCCCCTGATGAACGAGGTAGTGGATTTCTTCGTGTGGAGAGCTTTTTTTTTTTTTTTAATGTTTAAGACGATTTCCTCAAAATGACGCTGCTCACGCCTGCAGTGGGAGAAACAGGCTCCTCATTTTTCCCCTGATAAGTGGGACACTGTTACACTTCCTCCCCACAATCCAGAACCTTCTTTCAGAACTGAAAGAGCCTCGGCAGTGAATCACCTGTCTGAACCCCCTCCTTTGACGAGGAGGAACGGGAGCCCAGAGAGGGGAGTGAATTCCAAGGTCACACAGCAGCCAAGAACAGGCTGCTGACTCGCCTTTTGGTTTTCAAATTTAGGAAGAGGGGGTCCTGTAGGCTGGCCTTGCCCATTTCACAAACGGGGGCACTGAGCCCCAGGAGAGGAGGACCACCCACTCGCCTCTGATGCTGACGTCTGGAGCACCAGACAGGCTCCTTAGCCCTTGTGTCGCACACACGGTGCCTGGGGCCACCCAAGGTGCCAGTTGCGATTGGTCAGCAGTGGATTCCCTGCTGCCCTCCCCCACAGCTCACCCTTCCTCTCTGCCATCCCATTTTCCAGGAGGAAAAGCTGAGGAGCCAAAGCAGATGCAGAGAGAGTGGGACTGCAGATGTCAGAGGACCCCCTTGGTTGTGCCCCTGCCCTGGCCTTCAGTCCTAGTAGTTCTGGGTCTTTTCTGGGGTTGGGGCGGGTGTTGGCACAGACCCTGCAGTGGGGGAGAGGGGAAAGACCAGCGACATCTCAGCTGCTCCCTCTGGCTCGGCTTGACCCCCAGGAGGTCCTTGGGGAAGAAGGGAAAGGGAGGGTAGAAAGAGGAGAGGAAAGGAAGGTTGGGAACAGAGATACTTGGAGAGAAAGAAAAGAATTAGAACAGTGGGGGAGAAAATGGGGAAGGAAGGGATCTGGTTAAAGCAAAAGGAGAGAGGAGGCCCCCACCCTCCAGGCCCATTGGGCACCCAGGAGAGCAACTGGGGGCAGGGCTCCCAGTGAGGGAGCTAGGGCTGCTCAGAGCCACGTGGCCGGGTCAAGGTGGAGTGGAACAGCTCTTTAGGGGGCTCAGGAGGATCCAGACCAGGTGGGTGGCAGGGAGGTGGCAGCTCCTCTGGTCATGGGTTCCGGTGGGGCAGGTGGTGGGGCACCCCAGGTCAGAGGCCAGGGCCAGGGATGTGTGTGGGGTGAGGCGATTATAGCTCTGACTTCCCATCACCAGGACAAGGGCCTTGTGTCCCCCCTGGAAGCAGCCCTTCCGTGAATGTGGGTATTTGGGCCTTTCTGCGGTGTCTCGACTTGGACGCCTTCCCATGTGCCTGCGTGTGCATATGTCTGTGTGTCTGATCCTGTTTGTGTATTCTTGGGGGTCGGTATGCCTGCCAGCCTGTGTGTGTACGCCCGTGTGTTCTGTGTGCCTCAGGCCCTGTTTTTATATTCTCGGGCACGTATGCATGCATGCATATCTGTGTGTGTGTGAATCTGCGTGTGTCCCTGTGTGTACGTGTCTGTGGGTCTCTGATCTCGTGTGCATTTCCGGGGGACAGTGTGCCCTCGAGCTCGGGCATGTGTGTGTCTATCTATGTGCAGGCACACACTGCTCCTCCTAATGGCCCCGAGAGGGACGCAGGCACCAGGCTTCTATGCTGCTTTCAAGGTTGCAGCTGGGTGGGTAAAGCGGGGGGCGGCCTTCGACTGGGAGGGGGGTGGGGGGAGGCAAAGAAATTCTTAAAAGACTGTCTTCCCTCTGGTCTCCAAGGAGATCAGCCTGTGAAATGATCCGCACGTTAATTAAAAACGATTATATCCTGATTGAGCCATTCCTGCTCACGTCCCCCAGCCGGGGAGAGGCTGGGGCTGCGGCCAGAGAGGCAGGACGCGGCAGGGTCCCTGGGTCCCACTGCGACAGGGCCGGCTTGGGACCTGGCCCCTGGAGGGGAGCGGCCCTGGGGGGCAGGTGGCGAGGCATTGGGGGTACGTGCCCACAGCCAATTTGAGCTTCTGGTTTGAATTTTGAAGACACCAACCCCTGTATGTGTCCTCTAAGGTCCATGGAGCTTCTGCCAAGAGGTTGAGGTTAAGAGCTGTCCTCCCATGAGTGTGGACATTTGGGCATTTTTGTGCTGTGTCTTTGTGCTGTGTGTGTGCACATCTATTTGTGCCTCTGTGTGTGTCTGGGTGTCGGGATGGCACCACCAGCCCTGTGGATCCCTATTCCTCTGTGCTGGGCACTGGGCCTGTTTGCCCAGATCCTGCGAGTCAGCGTTTGTGGTTCCGGCTTTTTAGAGAAGTGGCATGCTTGAGGTCACGGAGCCAGAGGTTGGGGACCAAGTCCTCTGATCCCAAGACCCAGACTGCCTTCTAGCTCCCATCTGCCCCCAGACTCCCATGATGAGGGGTGTTCCCTCTGCATGACCCCTGGGAAGCTGGGGTGCCCAAGGGTAGGCCTTGTCATCCTCACAGCACTCCTGATGTTGTTCATTCTGAGGTTCGAGCTGCATGGGGTGCAGGGCTGTGATGTCCAGGCATGTGGCAAGCAGATGACTGACCAGCTGGAGTGGGCTGTGCTCCACTCCCTCCCACGGCCATTCACTCTGGCTGATGACCAGGGCAGACCAACTACAGGT